AGAGAATGGCTGCATGTTCATTTTGGATGCGTTTGTGAGAGTTGGACAAACGGCAACAGGAGGACCAAAGGGAGGCTCGTTCAGTTTATGTAGAACAGCGCGCCGCGCCACGAGAAACGGCGGCTGGAGGTTTTGTGAATGCCCAACAGGGCTCAAAGCCGCCTCAGTGTTGTCTCTAAACTTGAATGCGATCTCCTTGATTGTCACTTTATTCTACTTCAGACCTGCACATGTATGTGCACAAGAAGCCCCTGGTCACTTAACCAATAATTGAGCAATCACCCCCCCCCCGCCCCCCCATGGTTATACATTATATAGGTTCCAGCAGGCTTCATGTGCAGTCACTGTCAGCCAAGCTCATAGTGTCTTTATTATTGAAGGGGTGGTGCTCACCATTGGGTGGTACTCTGCTCTGTTGGCAGCCCCTGAGTCAGTGGTGTGAATTCCACATTCCAATGGTGGGGCCGGTCTCACTACAGCACAACCTCGGTTGGTTTCCTACAAAGTGCTATGACGAATTATATTTCTCGATTTGAAGCTTTCATGACTGCAGGGATTCATATTCTTGGTTCTTTCGGTAAAGTCACGTAGAAGGGAAATAATAAAAATAAAACCATGCAATTATCACGACGTTTCGATTGTTGCAATCGATTGTTGCAATCGAAACGTCGTGAGAATTTTATTGTTTTATTTTTATTTTTTATTATTTCCCTTCTACGTGACTTTACCGAACGAACCAAGAATACGAATTATATAGCATAAAGAAGCTGACTACTTCTATTGCTCCAAGTACAGGACTGTGAGAAGAGTTTAAAATTGACCCCCGTCTATTAAATTATTTTCCTGAGCAACGCAAAAGATTCCCTACTCGTGAAAAAAATACATGCTGGTATTAAATACCGAGTATATCTTTTGCGTTTCTTGAGTTGTGGTTAAGGACATTTTTTTTCACAATTGAATACCAATTGTTTTTGACTGCGAATGTGGCCAATTGGTCAATTTAGGAATGTTACATGCCAATGGAAAATTTTGCAACTTATCCATGGATACTTGAAGCATCTAGGCCAAACGATGCACAGTATTTTAATGGTTGCACACTTCTCATCATTACCGAGTTGCACAGAGAAATGAGCGCTTCTTCGTTGCATTTAGCAGGGACACGTTTCTGTAAAACGAAAACCGCACATTGCACAGTATTAAGCGTGAATTCCCTGTTCAAAATTGAAATAAAATGCATCCAAATTGTCCACTTAGTGTGTAATGCCCTCCCATGATTACAATCGCAAACGCCGCGGTGGGCGAGCAGGACCCTTTCGCTGTCCATTCACAAATAAGCATTTCCACATCACTCGGTTTCCGGCCACGTTGATTGGCAAAGTAATGAGAAGTGAGTGAATGCACCGCTGTAATACGGATGTATAAATATTTATTCGTATCACCTCTACCTGAGCGCAGGGAGCTTGTCGACGTAGTGACAGGTTGGCGAGAAATGCGTGCGTGTGTTTTTTTATTTGCAGCCTGTGCCCAAACACTAATTGCCCCTTCAAATCCGCGCACTTCACTCACGGGATGTCTAATAGTGCCCTTGATGAATGCCGGCAAAAAAATAAAACTCTCAGCCCAACGAACATTTTCCACTTTGCCGTCTTTAGTGAATGGAAATTTATTGCGCCTTGCCGTGTCCGGCCCTGAGACTGTGGGCATAATTAGGTTACTAACCCATTGATAGGGGGGAGCTTTCCTTGGAGGCGGCGAGTTACCTCGTTACCTGAAGCAATTTCCGGGGCATCCAGACTCTTTCGTGACTGCAAGGATTCATCTTCTTTGGTTCTTTCGGTAAAGTCACCACGTAGAATGAGAATAAAATAATAAATTGATAAAATAAAATAACACAATAATATTCTCACGACGTTTCGGCCACAACACAAGCGGCCTTCATCAGGTGAAGGGACGAGACTGTCTGGAGGACAATTTATTATTTTATTCTCATTCTACGTGACTTTACCGAAAGAACCGAAGAAGATGAATCCAGACTCTTTCTAGACACGGGTTCCCTGTTGTGCCTCCGAGTTGGCTATCAGGCAAGCTGGCCAGATGAACAAACCACCTCCTCGTACCTTTGACTGTTGGCCATTGATAACTCTTGCAGAACTGCGCGGCGGCGCTGCGTAGTTCTCCAATGGCACCTCCGGGTCGCGGTCGCATGTTGTTCCAGCGCGATGTCCGTCGTTTTCGCTCCCGTGGAACTCAATATTTATATATCATTTAAAAAACTTTACCCCGTTTCATGTTTTGACTGGTCCTCCTCACAGTGGGAGTGTGAAATTGCCAACGCTCGCTCTAGGCTGCAAATGAAGATGAGTGCCGGTGTTAGTTTGTGCGAGGAGAGGCTTTGGCTTATTTACAATGAAACACATCTACGCCTGTACTCGTGCAACAACACACCGGGTGCCATTGTGGTTAGGAGTATAAAACCACACTGACGCTGTGACTTTATCACGCGCTTGTATAATTATATCCTTGCGCATGATGGCAACAATGTGTTAAGGAGCTATATTGTCAATATTCTTTGGTTCTTTCGGTAAAGTCACATAGATAGAAGAACAAAATAATAAATAATAAAAACCGCGACGTTTCGATCGCAACACAAGCGGTCGTCGTCAGGAAAAAGGGGTTAGCCTCTAAAGGCAAACTGTTCAGAAAGGTTTAAAATGCGCGTAGCCCAAGTGTCAGCAGCATGGGTGGGGCAGCTTATGTTAATGTGAGTGATGGTTAACAATGGCGCTGGTGGTGGGTTTCTACCAATTAAAGGGCTGCCAGGTGAAAATTAGCATGTGAATGTAAGATCAGAGAGTGGCCTCCACGTCGAGGCTGGCGCGCGGAGGTGGCTGTGTTGGTGTGAGAAATTTAACCTGTTAATGTAAAATCGGAGAGCCGAAAATAACAACTAACATTGGAAGGTGGAAGGATGGGAACATCACAGCCAGTTATGACTTAAACTGGTTGATCACTGGTTGATCACGTCCTTCCAATGATTACTAAGAAATTGTGTCCGTGTCAGTATATACGGATGGCTTGCAAAGTACCTTCGTCTTGGAGAAATAAATTTCGTGTGAGCCCACCGCATTAAAACAATGATCAGCCACAGCCGAGAAATTGGTCCTACCGTGTTTCAGATCTGCCTTATGTTCACGAACACGGTCCGAGACATGTCGCTTAGTTTCACCAATGTAATTACTGCCGCAGACACAGCTTAGTTTGTAGACGCCGGAATATTGCATGTCAGGGATCTTGTCCTTCACAGATGGGATCAGATCACAAATTTAATGTACTTTGTTAAATCGAACCTGGATCTTGTGTTCATGATTTTGTAAATCTTTTTGGTTACTCATGCTATGTATGGCAGGGTGATGGTTTTGATTGGATCCTCAGATGGCTCCTTCCTCATGGTTGGGGTGATGGCTTTGCGGATTGTGTAGTCAGTATATCAATTCGCCTTGAGAGCCTGGTGTACGTGTTTGAGTTCACTGATTAGGTGTTCATGGTTGGAGATACATTGAACTCTATGGTGTGGAGTTTTGATGAGGGAATTCTTCTGAGATGGATGGTGGTGGGAATCAGGTTTTTTCTCGGTAGGCATCAGTATGGGTTGCTTTCCTGTAGACAGAATGGCTCATTGAGCCGTCTGGTCTCTTTTTGATTAGGACATCCAAGAAAGGTGACTGTGAAGTTTAACCCTTTAGCCAAAACCGATTTTTGACCATTGGAAATTGGAATATTACCAGATGAATAACAACCTTGTCAACGTCTAACTTTTTAATGTGTGTATCTGGTTTCTACTTGGAAATCAGGTTATCTTTACATTTAGCTGACATTGTAGCGGCTGATGAAGCAGTCACGTTATCTACATGTTCCCAATCAGATGTCGACATTTTTTCTGTCAATGTTAAGTGTGATTTCAAGAGTGTCTTGTCCACATGATCTTGTTCAGTACGGAGCAGTCTAATTCTCTCTGAGATCAGGGCCAAGCCAGCCCTGAACAAAATTATTTGCCATTGGAAGATGTGACAGCAGCAGAGGTCAGTGTGAATGAGGTCGGTATTACCTTAGAGTCGTGGCATCTCTTCAGAAATGTGAGTGACTCGATCAGATGAGCTTTCGTGTCTCGGAGTTTGTTAAAAGATCTTATGGTTATGTGGAAACCCTCCCTGTAGAGGCAGTTACATTTTTACTTAACCTTTCGTGACTGCAGGAATTCATATTCTTTGGTTCTTTCGGTAAAGTCATGTAGATAGAAAAAAAAATATTGCCAATGTCAAGGTCTGCAAGCCACGAGAATGCTTTAGGAGAGACTTTGTGTAGTTTTGCTATTTATTCATTGAATGCGCGCAGACTACAGTGGCTTACGATTCGGTCCATAGTTTGGTTTGCATGGCCACAATCGCACTACTGTGGCCTACCTTTAATTTCCGAATTACGGAGATGTGCATATCGGCCTATTGATGTTCTGATGCGGTTGATGGTTCTATTGGTGTCTTCGAGGAGGAGGAATGCTAAAGCCAGGAGGTGCGATGTTTGGGTCTTGAGTGAGGTGTTTATTCTGGACATCTACATTGTTCCACTGGATGAGATGCTAGGACGGTGACAGCGGCGTAATCCCAGAAGGGGCAGGAGTCAGTGGAGAGGAACATTGGTGAGGCCTCGCTTGATACACATCTCGTTTATTCGTTGGATTGGAGCAAACCAGAGAACCCGGAGAAAACCCATGCAGAACAGGGGGAGAACATAGAAACTCCCCACAGAATAGAGGCCGAGTCGGGAATTAAAACCAGGCCCTTTCTGTATCAAGCACTGCGCGATCCCTGCCACCAACGTTCCTGAACGATGGGTGGTACGAATCGAGCGTAAGGATAAGCGATAATTGTTCATTTGGGTTCCTTTGAGCCCTCCGCCGCGCTCCTCATCCCCGGCGCGTGTGCGCGCCTGCCGTCCCCGCGCAGGTGAACTACTACGCGGAGGTTTCCAAGATCTTCCGCGACCTGTCGGAGAAGATTGACGTCGCGGAACGCACGGACGAGCAGCGTGAGCAGGAGAATGAGGCGCGGCTCGCCGAGCTGCGCTCCCTCTCCATCGTCGCCAACGACTGAGAGCTCGCCACCGCCGTCCCTCGGTCCCCACTCACACCCTTGCCTCACCGACTACCCCCCTCCCCTTGTCACTAACCCCCACCCCCACCCCATGTATGTATGTTGAACTTCTTTCGCACCATAATTGAGGTTTTTTGGGTCTGATCGCGTAAATGAAAATGTGATTAACCTGCTTTGGCACTGTACGTAGCCAGTCGTGCTAATTGGAGGTGTGGGGGAAGGACAAAACAAAATAAAAACAAAAAGCAGTTCTAAAGAAATGAATTTTCAGTTTACATGATTTAGAAGTGCATGGCTCCAGTGGCTTCCAAATATCGGAAGGAAGAGTATTCCAGACGGCCGCAGAAGCGCATATGAAAGCGTTGATGCGGGTGAAGGAGTATATTCGCTTACATAGGCCCTTACATATGAGAAGTGGGTGCTATCTTTCCGCTTTCCCTGGTCCTTGCAGAGGTTCACGGTTCGCATCCAGCAGCCACCCTGGTTATCACTGCGGTGGTGTATTAACCATGACAATACTATGCGCCGTCTGCTGCACAGTGGACGTTAAAGATCCCGTGATGTCATTCACAAGAGGAGGTTATTGTGTGCTGGTATCATGCTTCAGATTTGACAATAAAAAAACTCAAATAGGGTGAAACGTAACGATCATTACTCCCTACTGCAAAACACTTTGCAGCGCCCTCCTGAGACTCGGTGAGACTCTCCCGAGATAAATAAAAACACGAGTGAAATCTATTTCAGGGGATGCTGCAATAGTGAAATGGTCGGCACGCTGGACTTGCAATCCAGAGGTTGGCAGTTCTATAAAGCAATGAGGCAAATGTCTTAAATCGCCCCCCCCCCACGCATCTGTCCACCCTGCAGTATAAATATGACAGTGCAAAATATTGGGATTTGACGATAGGTTGTACAGGGGACATGACGAAGAAGACGAGTTAGTCGATCGACAGGCCACGTTTGGTGGGGTCAAGTGTGATTACTCCATCTTCAAAGACATCTGGCCAGTACTCTCCAGAGGGGCTCTCTAGAGCCCTTTCGCCAGCAGTGCTGTGCCTTTACCTTTCGCGTGCACCTTTTCATATTTTCTGAAATCCAAATTTCATCGCGAGAGGGTAACTCGGTGATCACTACTGGTGAATTAATCCGTGTGTTTGTGCCTTAAGCGAAAAATCTTAAATGACCAGAGAGACCTCGAGAAAAGCCACGCCCACCAAACCTAGGTCCATAGTGACTTCCACGTGTTTCCACAGTGAAAGATTTTGCTCGTGGAAAGAAGCATTTCTCTTCCGACATCTGGAGTGGTTGGTCCTGTGCAACAGTAAGTGGCTTGAGAAAGCAGACAAATAACACAGTACCACCGAGGTTAGTCGATGCATCTGTGCCAAGCCACAGATTGTTCAATCGCTGCTAATATTTCAGAACTATCTCGGCAGCCCCCTCTCACTTGTTCTTTCAACATTCACCAGGTCAACTCTGCACCGACTTTTCTCATGAAAGTATAAAGAGTGATACTGCGTACGGGAGATTGGGCCTGCTTACATAATATAACCAACCCCCTTCAGGATGTGAATCTGCCATATACGTCTGTTTTCCACCATACAACCGAGTTGTGCTAGGGCCATGCTGAGCCAGCCGGGTGGTTTTGGCCACAGCAGAAGCTGAGCCGAGCTCCTGTGGACGAGTTAAAACGCACGTAGCTGCGACGCGGTGACACTCCGTTTGAATTGTGTGTGTATGTATGTGCCCACTGATGCCACGCGCAATGAACACACGTTCTTAGCCCCGTCGCTGCTTGGCCCCGAGCCATATTCAGATGTCTTTTGTAAGGCCAGCTTATCTAGATTTGGTTTCAGGCTCGGCACAGCAAAATAGCCAGTGGGGAAACCACCCTACTGTTAGTGTTCCACGCTGGCTCAGCTCAGATGTGCCAGTGGAAAAGAGGTAGTAGTTGGTGACTGTAGCTTATCGGTTAGAGTGCTAGCTTGTGATGCCATTGAATGTGGGTAGTGTTGGACATCTAATGCCATTGAGTGAGTGGTAATGGTGGAGCAAGGATACGGTGGAACGGCAGCCACCGAGAGTTTTTAGGACAAGTTCTGGGTATTTTTGTGCACGTGCACTTTGTGTGTTTTTGCTTGTGTTTTTTTGTTATTTCTGTGTGTATGTTTTGTGTGTGGAGAATGACGACACTGGTATTTAAAGCATTGCACTACAATAGTGGAAACGTGGGTTTGACTCCCTAGCCGTGCACATCGTTCAGTTGCAAAAACGTGACCTCTAGTTCAGCTCGGCCATTGGTACCTGGTGGGGCAATCGGGAGTGCCGTTGGCTACAACGCCTCATGTGCTTTGCTGCGTGTGTGAGTGCTCACGAACATCACTCACCCCTACGGTTTACAAGACTCAACAGATTAACTTTACATTTGAATGTTGGGTGCCCGTGCGTGTGTTATATGTTCCGTGATCATGAGCTGTGTGCGTGTCCTGCATCGCGTCTTGTGTTTTTCCGCTGTTCGTTACCCCGAATTAGATGGCCTCTCGCTGTGGGTTCTCATCTGGTTGAATGGAGGATTGGTTTCTGGGAAGCAGTGTGCAAGTCCGATGGTGCTGTGGTGAAAACTCTTTACGCCTGGTCAGAAAGTTACAGGTTTGAAGCTAAGTCATAATAAACTCGGCTTATCCTTCCAGGGCCGGTACAATTGGTACCGCTTTATGGGAAGTCAACAGTGCCTGACGGTCTGGTCCCCAACCACAAGAATATGGAATGTCCACCACTCGCCCAGTTATGGAGATGAGTGCCCACTAGATAGCTTCACTTTTAATTCCTAAAAAACGACACGCGCTCTCTCCATGGCTCACATAATGGCTAGCATGTCGTGATTCCAAGAAAGGTGCATTTTTAATCACAGCCCCTGGATTATCAACTTCTGAGCTGAGCTTGATGGCTACAGAAAGTGGCGCACTTCACGGCAAATAACGCACACTTGAATCATGATGAATGGTCGTGTCCGCAGAGCTGTGTGGGTTGGTTATTATTTCGAGCACTATGCTAAATACCTACAGCGTTTAAATCTCCTTGTTGGTAGTGATGGATCAGTACTTGGATTCACATTTATTTTTTGTAATCGCTTTGTGCCAGTAATGTCTACCGCTCAGTACAAATCACTGAAATAATACTTTTGTTATTTAGCTTACGTTGTTGGGTTGGTTATGTTAAACTATATTTTAGCAAATAAGTAAAACAAAAACTGTGAGTTAACGTATGCTGCCTTGTGCCTTCTGATGATTATTTCATGTGTATGTGTGTGAAATGCATATGTATCGTTGGTAAGCCTTGGCTGAAATGGGCCGTTAATAAAATATATATATAGACACGCATCACTATTGTACACACATTTGTCATTTCACAATTACCGTGGAAATATGAAACATATCTTGGTATGTTGCGAGTTCTGGCACGCAACACAGGCCCATATGATAAGTTCATGCAGTGTGTTTCCTGTTTCAGGATGTCGACGACATTTCCGCTTACACTGCCTTGGATGTAAATCCACAGCAGCTTCCCTTTGGTGTTGCTGCCTGGTTCGTGTTAGCCTCCACGAGCTCCCTTGAGGTCGAATTTATTTAAACTTTCAGGCCCCACCTGTGCTGTCACTGGGCGAGCGTGCAACAACCGGAATTTGGCTCGCACAAAACTAAGGATGCGGCGGCGGCGGCGGCGGCGTCTTGGTTAGCGCACTGCGTTACGAGCACGGCGACCACGGGTTAACCAGAGTCTCCAGACACACCATGAAGTCACGTTCAAAAATCTGTCCAAACAAGCCGGCAATACATTTCCTCTCCTGCCCTCTCCTGGCCTTCGGAGTGCAGCAAGTTGGGAGGTGGAGTCTACGTGGTGCCGAAAATCCCAACCTCTGGTATTATCATCAGCCCATGATCTATCCATTGATGAACAAAATATAACACTTGTTGGAAGGATGCTGGAAAACGCATGTGAATCTAGGGCAATTACTGAAGGTGAACCAGGATCAACATAAAAAAAACTGACAGCGGGAACAGGATGGAGTGCTTTTGTTTCATTAAATTAGATTTATTTAACAAATAACAAATGTGCCTAAGAGGAACATTTTCAATCAGTGCAAATTACGCGCAATGACGTGGATTTCAAAATATGGACACCTGACAACCTTTGGGTCAGAAGCTGAGAAGTACACAGACGAGCGTGGACAGATGCATGTTGGGAATTGCGCTCAGAGACAGAAAGAGGAACACAGATGCAAGCGCGCAAATGCAAATCGGAGGCATCGTGTTCACTGATGGGTAAAGTGGGCTGGAGCAGTGCACATTGCTGGAAAGGAGGGATGGTCGGTTTCCCAGACGAATGAGAGTGGCAGCCAGGGCAGTGAGGCCCCTGGAGAAGACAAACTGCCACAGAGATGGGAGATGAACTCGTGCGCACAGGCGAGGTGGAGCTGTGGCAACGTGGAACCTTGGGAATCTTGAGTTCGGATATAGACAACGGCGAATGATGATCAGCATCCTACTCTTTGGTTTTGTTCGGTAAGGTCACGTAGGTAAAATAAAAGAAAACTAAATTAAATCACGACGTTTCGGAGGCAACACAAGCTTCCGTCTTCAGGTGGAACAGTCACAGCAGAATAGCTGCGTCAAGTGGACAGCTCTGAGACAGCCGGGATTATACACAGGTTAAGGTGGGGGGGGAGGAGCCAAGAAGGGACGTGGGTGGGGGGGGCTGAGTTAAGCCGCCTTTTATTATGCTGCAGGGAGTTCGGGGGTAGCGGTGGTGCACTGCACGAAAACGGGTAAAACACCCTTTTGTTATGCTGCAGGGGGTTCGGGGGGAGAGATTCACGAGTACACGCAACCCACTGAAAGCAATGGAAATGGCTGTACAATTATAAGGCTGCCAAACTTTGACTTGGTTTAGAACATCTTTTGTTTCCTGTTTGTCTTTCTCCCCACATTTTGTGCTCATGGCATCATGTCGTGCGACGAAAAATACATTCGTAAATCTCGGCAGCGTGCCCTGTGTGGCAGAGAATGGCTGCACAAGAGAATTTTTTTTTCTCTCTCTCTAAAGAAAATCCTTCAGGTGACCATATTTTCCTTTACACAGTAGGGGGCGCACTGTCCCGTGCACCCTTCTACGACACCGTCGTAGAAGGGTGCACGGCAGTCAAATCAACATTTATAATTTATAGAGGTGGAAAATTAAGTGGAAAACAAATTGTAACATTCATGTTTTTTTTGCAGTAATCAGTGCCTGAGAAACATCAACTTGCAGGCATCCGTATAATCACGGATGGATGCCCAGAATCAAACACACAATCTCAGTGGTGCTGGGTTATTAATCAGACTTCTTAGACTCCTGATTACCTCATTGTATTTTAGAAGTATAATTTGCACAACAATATGCTTTAAACATCTGCTGACACATACCTTTTATAACTCTCAAAATGTCCGAATAATCACAACCTTTTTGCCACGTAAATATTTAGCATTGTTTTTAATAAATTCTGGCTTTTAGTATGAACAGTTAAAATAACACTTTATTGAAATAGAATTAATTAGATTGTAAAGTGACGATAATATAGGTCAACATCTTACAAGAAAAGGTGGCCCATTTATTAAAAAGTTGGTAAAATTTCGAGTTCGCATTGTAAATGAAAATGTCACAGATAAAATGTGAAACGCAACTCCCGTTCATATGTTGAATGCCTCTCGTTACAGAACTAATTTTCGTCCACATTTGACCTGACTTCGAATGATTATGAATTGCATTCTTCTTAATGGTTCTGTAATTGAATACCAAATGAATAACAACTGTATAAGTTGAAATTCAGCACATGTCTTGCAATGTAATAAAATCTCTCATTTACCGAGTGAGATCTTTTTCATCTATGCAGCAGTCAATTGGCTTTATGTTATTAACACTATTATTACTGAACATTATTATTACATATTACTGAATATTGTCTTCGTATTGAACATTATATGAATGATTTTTTTGTAAAATGTTAATATTGAATGGTTATCTCTGTGTTGATGGAGGCACGGGGGTAATCGTCGTGTACCTTTGGAATAAAACGCGACACTAGAACATCGTGCATGGAATTGCCAGCGGGATATATGGTAATGAGCGGAGCGCGTGTATAAGTGTAATGACCGAAAAAATTTCCCCAAGCCATATGCAGCCTAACAGCTATTTAGACATAAACAAAGGTATCCGTTGGAAGAAAGAGGCCTCCACGGTGATTGGTCGGGAGGCAAAAAGGATCCGTTCAAGGGAAGGGACAGGGATTGGCTGGAGGTAAAACAAGGAGAAGAACGTTCGAGAAAGGGGGCTGAGGGATATATAAGGGGAGAGCACGAGGAGTAAGGACGCTCAAGAGTCCATAGTAGGGTTCCGCATTGTGGAAATCTTGAATGAAAGTGGCTCTTATAACTTGTCGTCGGAGTCGTGACACAAGGACACGGGTCGGCAACCAAGGGAAAGGCGTGAAACCAAGGATGGGCCGCCTTGGAAGTCTGTTGAGGTGTGGAAGGCATCGGCAGCAATGGTCATGACGACAGCTTTACCTTGCCATTATTTAACGGTGTACAGTGTTTCGTGCGTTTGAAGTTTGTCAGACGTAACACGTTCACGTGAACGAATGTGAATTAAATGTTAATCAACATTCGGACAAACAAACCTCAACGTTTAGATATGAATATGATGCTAAGAAACGGTGTTGCTTATATCCCTGACTCTGTCAAGAAGAGCACGCTGGTTAAAACCTTTGATGGCTTCTGCCCCCAATTATAATTGTCCACAAAGGTGAGGCGATTCTCAGCACCTCCTCCAGATGTATTCCAAAAATAATCTCGGGCTTCCGTGCAAACCCCATCACGTTCGGCACCCTAAGTTAGATGTGGCAAGGGCTCTTTTAAAAAGGACTTTAGAGGCCAATAATCTGGCGGTGCTCTTGAGAGTCTTCTCGTGGAGTTATTTTTTTGTGGAGGGGGGGGGGGAACGCAGAGAAGTGGAAAAATCTGCGTCCAACTTGAGAATTGCATGTTGGGGGTCATCGCAGAACTCACTCGACGAGGCGGTTGCGTGGAGGGCCCCGCAGGTCGCCGCATTCAGACGCGACCACCCCCTGTCGGTAACGGCCCACCCCAGATGCCCTGTCCTGTAAACGCGATCGTGGCCACCACACTTTGAGCGATGAAGTTCTGGGATAGATGTATCGCCGTCTATCTTTTTGTTCCCGTTCGTTATTAAATTCCAAATAACTTGGTCGATGCAGTTGGAGCCGTGGTGCGCTGCGCTATGAACCTGACTTGTCTGAGTTGAATTCCCAACCAAGGCTCACATCGGCGGCGAGACAAACCTGAACTGGTCCTGGGGCTTCTTCCCCGCCCTGCACTGGCCGGCCTGGTGGTTAACCAACGTCCGTGGTCAACGAGGCATGGTGTTGAGTGCCTTCACCCAGCGCTGTATTTGACAAGGGCTGTACATTAAGTTATAGATCGCCGCTCAGGCACGCAGTGGAGTTCACGCTTATGGCGCACCGTGCTTCGTGGTTCGAGACTGGGCGGACTGGAGCCATACTGACGGCTGGCTGCCTTACGTCAAACCTGGTTTTCAAAGGCAAGCCCACTGATGTTCCGAGCCTGCCATTCTCCCCGTTGTGTTTGTCATACGTCCCACGGAGTAGTTATTCCCGGCGCATTAAGAGAATCGCTCCCTGGCCATGGCAGTAGTACGGATTGCTGGGGTAGCAGTTCAATGGTAAAGTGGCTCAGCAATGGCCTGAGAAAAATAATTGCAGGGCTGCACCTTTCTTTACTTTTCCTTTTTAATACGCCATGATCACTTAACAAATGGCGTTACGGGGAAAAAAAGAGGACGGAAAATTTGCGCACGATGCAAAATTTGCTGCGTTCGAAACAAAAGGACGTGCTCTCAACAATCGCCCAGGGGAGAAGTCCAAGGAGGTCAGTGCCTTTGAGCACGTGACTCAAAGTAATTGAGCGCAAGGCGTAGAGCAGCAGTGAGCAATGGCCACTGTCCTGTACGTCGTCTCAACTCTGGCTTGGTGCCTCGCAATGAGAAATTGCCCACGTATTTGGATCTTTTGAGCTGGTATGTGTCGTTCTATCAGTTTGATCCCAGCCTGCATTGTTTCCCGCTGTGGTGGGTTTTCCCCATTGTCACCTACAGATTTGAGTTAACCGTCGTACTGCTGCCAACATTTCCCCTGAAATCAGACCGACTCCACGTCTGCATCATCATCATCATCAAACGTCGCGTGCGCGCAACGGAAAATTTCCGAGAGGCCGGCAGGAGAACCGCAAAACAGGCGGCTCTGAGG